TTAACCAAGACTGATATTTTTGATAGAAATTAATAAAAATATGAAAAGTAAAATCTGATTGGGTAGAAATACAAATTCAAAATACTACCCAATTATTCCCTCTTTTCTATTAATTTGAGTAAACTATTTTCGCATAATGTCTTTTAGAGTCATCATTTATCTCCTTTTCAATCTGACATCCAGCATCATTGACATGAAATCCCTGGCATTCGGTCTGTCGCAGACACCGCAGCGCACATCTCATGTACGAAGCATCCCTAGTGACTCCACGATTCTTCACAGATTGAAAATACAGTGAATCTGGGAATGAATCATACAAATTAACACTTCTAGTTTATGTTTGTTTTTCGAACATAAGGCTTACGCAGTTAAATATTATATAATACATTTAAATATTAAATTGCAAAAATTATTAAAAATTGATCCTTTATAGTTTTATTTACTTTATTTAAGTATCTGTGTTTTTATATTATTGAATATCATTTGCAAAAATAATATAAATAAAACATTAGGAAAATTGTGGGAGCTCATGGTGAACAATAAAATTAAAAATGTTATACAGACTCTACGTAAGAATATACTAAAAATCATAATTACATTGTTAGGAAAAATTGACTTCGAACCAATAATATTTGATAAATATTGCAGTTTGTGTTGAAACGTGTTTAAATTATAATTTCGTAAGTTTGCGTTTACTAACGACCATTTAAATAATTTGTAGAAAATTCATTTAATATTATGTTATAAAATATTAATATATGTATATTATTAATTCATAACACTTACCATATTCACAAATGTATCCTTTCGACTGTACATTGGGATTTATATCGGTAGCAGGAATATCAAAGAGTAAACCAGTGCTTATGTCGATCCTAGCCCCACATTTTTTGGATCTGCTCAAAGTAGGTTCTAAAACTGCCCATTGAATAGAAGAACGGAACTCCTCTCCTGTTTCCCACTTCCAGTTTGCATCAACATTCCGTGGCAAACCCGCCTGCCGAGATAAGCCGATCTCATACTTACCGTCTGGGTAATTAGTCCTATTTTTTATGTAATCGAGTACGGCAACAACTTCATCGACAGTTGTGAAGCTTGCAAGATAACCACCTGATGATTCACAAATTTTCTTTAAATCTGACCAGATTTCTTTTTTCCCGAGTAGACCAACATTATACTCCGACCACTTATACTGGAACTTGGGAAAGCCTTAAAAAGAATAAATTATGAAATTCGATTTATGTACTGTACTTTGTGTTTAATGAAATAAATAGTAGACATTCGCAAAGCCTTTTTAACCATATCGTTTATGGGTGACCCTTTCTTTCAGCATATCCTTGAACGTCGGACGACATATTTAGGGCCCTCTTAAATAAATGAAATAACGCAATGATTTATCAGCGAAGTCTCTCTACGAGGCTTGGGGAGTGGAGTACAATTGCCGTGGTGTCTTGAGAAAAAGAAAAAAAAAAACGTCTGTTGTCACAGGAATCGAACCCGGAACCCTGAGATTAGAAGGTAGGCATATTAACAACTAAGCTTACGGTCGCAGCAACCTTTTAGCCCTTAGGAATCACACCCAAGACCTCCAGTTACCATAAAAATGTTGTCAAAGATAAACAAAATGTACGGCCAATGTAATTATCAAAGTAATGTACGGTAGTGTCTCGTAACAGCAGTATTGTATTTGATAGATTTTGCTCAAATAGGCTAAAAGTGTACTCGGACCACTTATACTTGAAATTAGAAAAGCCTTAAAAGCGATGAATTGTGATATCCAATAAAAAATATCTACTAATAATACTTGTTTTTATTAAATGGCATATACAATTGTAAGTAAACATTTTTTCTTTAGTGTCGAGTCGATTATTCATATAATATATATA